AATGAAATGACAATTTCAGGCCATATATAAACTTTCATTGTATAGAATTTTAATTTTTGCCTCCGCTCAATACGTTTGTGAAGGTAAAATTTCTATACATTAAAGCAATTTAATTTTAACTATAAAAAAAAAATACTGATTGAAGCAAATACTCATTGTTCCAACAAGTTTATAAACAATCGAAAGAGAACAAAGCTGTCACCAAAATAATAATTAAATTTGTTTCCGACAGCCCGAGCTGATATAAAGCCTGAGACGTTCTCAAAACGGCGATTAACTGTATAAATCGTTAACAAACGATCTTTAGGCGAAAACCGAACCCACAAAGACACTGCATAGTCGGATCGTTAAGGCCATTAAGTAGTATGAATAGAGTAGCGATGAATTAATGAATAACAAGTAGTGTGTCGCCGTACTTCAGAACTCGGATTACTGAATTAAAGCTGCTGTTTTAGTTTTATTCCTGTTTCTGTTTTTATCCACTCGTTTATCCGAAGCTCTTTATGCGAAGCTCACTGTATTATATCCCTCGAGTTGATCTGGGTCACGAAAACGACAGGTGACCTAACCGCCAGATAACACCCACTTCTAATCTACCAACTGGATTTCCCTCGATTACGTTTTACCTTGATTCCTCTAGATGACAGTTAATTTCTGGGCGAATCAACTCGTCAACATCCTACTTTACAACTTTTAACGATACACTCTCCGATAGTTTTCTCGAAATTGCCTCATGCTTGACCTATTTTTCTCTTCTGGTCATTATTATCTGGATTGCGCAATTTGGAAAATTTTTTTTTTCACGATTTACTGACGAAAAGCGCGCTTGGTAAAAAAATTTTAGTTACATCCGCTAGATGGCGTGGTAAGAAGTATCGATGCGGCATTTTGAGAGTAAATTTTCTAGACCAAAATGGTAGATCGCTGAAATTTTATTTTTTTATGGAAAAATGTTCTAATAAAAATTTTCTTTATTGCAAAAAATTATTCTGTTAATTTTTTTTTTCTTTTAGTACAGAAAATTTATAGGAATTTTTTTTATTTTTTACGACAAAAAAGTTTAAGAACATTCTATCACGTAAAATAATTAGAGTGTAAGTGATACGAAGATATAAAATAGGGGTTGCGCTGTCGAGACAAACATAAAAAAGATAGCCGAGTAACAATAGGGCGAAAAAATGTTTAAAAGTGTTTTCCCTCCCAGATAAAACCCTTACAATTCGTTGGATTTTTCTGTCAGTTCCACGTCAAATTACACGGGTGCTCTCACTATCTCTTCCAAGGTTTGGATTTTTGAACTATTTTCAGAGTAATTTTAGTGAAATTTACAAACAGGTAATTAAAAAAAAAAATAGCCTGGTGAATTAATTAAAAATATTTCGTTGAATAATTTTCAGTTTGATGGGGATGAATGTGTTTTTGGTTGAATTGACAGTATTGATGAGCTTCAATAATTCCCAGTCGATAAAATTAATTAATTTTTAGGTGATTGAGTTCTCTATTAATTGTTAAAATTATATTCAATTGTGTTTGAATTATAAACGAGCTTAATTTTATTTCAAGAATGAAGAATGGAGAATTGATTGAGGTATATTTATCATTTACGAGTTGCTGGAGATTGAAAGACTTGTCAATAGTTAATTTTATAAGGAACTAATCGAAATTTATTTTATTCAAAGATCGACTGAAGAATTGACTCAATTTCTGAACATGAATTTTTAAAATTCCAAGTGACATATGTTTTAACCCTTTGAAATTTTAATTTTAGTTCTTAAAATATCCGAAATGTGCCACATTTGATTCCAGTAAGGCGTGGAGCGAAATAGAAAATCCAAGATCATTAAATTTGAAATTCACTCCTCATTATAAATTAAACGTCAGGTAAATTCAAAGATCCAAAATCTCCAATTACGGTGAACGTCACACCATTTCTTCGTTTAGAGAAATAATAAACTAATTTGCTTTCAACAAAAACGCAGACGCAGTAAAATCCGAGTTTGGAGTTAGTGGATTTTCCTCTCGGAGCTGGCTGGGAATTAGGATTGAGTTTAGTTAGAGAAGAGGGTTGATAAAACTAGAAAAGGGATTGGACGCGTGGACTCTTGAAGTTTATTTTCCGAGTGTGATGAGAAGCTTAAGCTCTTCGAAAGCAGACACTACACACTACACACTGCCGTTATATACTTTCGTGCTTTCTACCCTTATAAACTCACCCCAGCATCTCCGGAGATAAAAAAAACAGCCTTAAAATATCTAATTAAGCTCAATGGGCCCAATGAGCCGTAACTTGAGCCTCAATTCAACTCTTCAAGTTCATATAATACATGACCTACTAACTAAAGCTTAATGACTTTTGTATTCTTTATAATTCATTTCAGACTCTCAAGAAGTTCTCAAGAGGCAAGAAAAAATTTTTTCTTTTCTTATATTCCAGATTTCTAACTTTAGAAAGCACCTCGTCGTTAAAAACAAATTATTTAAAGATTTTACACGGTCCATCTTACCCCGCCAACTAATTTTTGCACTCTGACCTATGAATACTCCTCACATAACCCCCCTAAATAATAATCAAAAAGGTCCGCATGATTATCTTCAAAATTAACAGAAATATTTGAATCCGTACATCCGCACAAAGTTTATTCCGGATGTACGGAAAGTCTTATAACTCGGGAACAAATAAAGTTATAAAAAAAAAATTTTTTTTCACGTCTTCTGAACTATATTCTCTGCACGGAAAAAAGTAAACTGTAAAATTTACTTGGATTCCGGTTAATTTTTATAGTTTCAAACAGTACAGCAGACATCGGGATGGCAAAAATATAAACATTACAGAACTTATCCGCTTGGAAAAGGTTTATATGTTTCAAAATATATGATTAAATATATTGATATTATAATGTGATATATGAAACGATATATAAAATCATATCTATAATTTTGCCGAAATAATATAAAAAAATATATTGTAAATAAATATATTATTCTCATGTATAAACCATATATTCATCAAAATAATTGCTTCATGTATGCACGATTCATATGTGTATCGGTACAACTTTTTATATATTGATACCTTATACTTAAAATAATGTATCGAAAAATATATGGTGTTACATATATTTCTTCATATATTGTACATTATATATTATATATGGTTTTTATGTATTCGGTAATATAGCAGATGATATATACTAAACGATATATGGATCACCATATTATTAACGACTATATTATTTAAAATACATGGTTCCATATATGGAATAAAGTTATACTTTTCAATATAGATAATTTTGCCGCCATACATTCATCACTTATTTGCAATATATTGTATAATATATTTTTAACGATATATAGTATTTTTATGCGGGTAATGTAGAAAGTGTATAAGCCACAATTTATAATTTAATATCCAAAATAAGTGATTAATAGCTGTCACTATAGTAAATAACAACTCTATCATCTTAAAAAATTACAGTTTCAAACAGTAAAAATTGCCGTTTTCATATATAGTCCATTCTATGAGGAGAAGGGGAACTCAGATAAGGAGACGGAGGTTTAATCAAGAAGAATTTAACATTTGAAACAGTAAAAATTTTACTCATAAAATATACATTTTACCAGTTCAAGCAAGTCAATAATTATAGTTTGATTTTTAGCGTTGCGTTTAAAATTTACAATTTTACTTTGTAAATATTGACAATGCTTGTATTGGAAATTTAGTAACTGTACTTAAGGAAGTTCGAGCGTAACTAATGAGTCAAAATTTTTTTTTAATTTTAGTCTTCCCAATATTCGTCAAAATTCTTTATTTCAATTTAAAATAATTTAAAAAATTTAATAATTGATGATTTTTATTTATTTAATAAAGTAAAGTAATAAAATGACTTTGGTATTTATTGCTTGCCGGAATAAATAAACAAATTTGGCAATAGCGCGCTTGATTATACCTATAACAGAGACATGGATGAGTGTGTGAGTTAAACGTTTTTCTCTCTGTAACTATATTTCTATCCTTTTCTTTTTTCTCAGCTGTTGACGCGATGTTGTCAAATCTTTATTCGAATAAATAGCTGACAATAAACGAGTTACAAACATAAAATTTGACTCTAAATATTTCAAAAATTATCTCGGTAATGTATTATTATTAAATTGTTTTTATATTTTGCAATAATCCAAGTTACTTGTGTATAGTTTTTTATCCTTTAAAGTTGGGAGGTTAATATTGTAAAAAATAATTAAAGTCTCGACAAAACGTTTGTCCGCCATAAGAGCTCGTGTATAAGGAGATAAAATATGTGATTTTAAAAATTTAAAATCTAAGTAACTATACGGTGAATCTTTTTTAAATTTTGGGATTAGATAAATTCTGTATTTATTTATACGTATACTTAATTTCAGAGCTCAAAGTTGTAAATTAATTTTTACATTAGATTCGCTCGAACCTCCTTAATATTTTTTACATATCATGCGATCATTTTTTAGGTACGAAACGATAAATACCAAAGTCTGAATTCTTAATTATTATACTTTAACATTTCCGACATTCACATAGCGACTATTACTGTTTGAAATAGTATTTTCTTCCATGTAAAGTATAAATTGTAGCATTTAAATGATAAATATTATAAAGTGATTAGTTTGAAATGGTAATTTTTAGCAGTTGATCATTACTTATTATTATTATAAATCGACTATTACTTATTATAGTTTACTTTTTTCCGTGTGTAGCCCCGGTGAAGAATTTCTTTAATTTCCCGTGCTCTAAAGGGACTTTGACCGCAAAGTTAGATCAAGCACATCTGCTCATATGTCAGAACGAGATCAAAGTTATATTGACCAGACAAACAAACGTCACTGGCAATTAATCGTTCGGCAGTGAACAGTGAACATCTAAGTGGATATCTGAATCAAAGGATCAATGACTATGAGTTATAAGAACATTTTCTGGCTTATGAAGTTTAGTTTCAGCCAATTACGGGGCAGAGTTACCTCTGGCAATCATGTTCGAATCCTCGGGAGATTTTACACCTAATGCACTGGATTCTTCGATCGAGGTTATAACGAGTTTCGGTAATTACTGTATCCCCTGGAGGTTAAATTAAAAGTACTTGTTACAACTACTTTTATAGCATTTCTACGACAAACGTCACTTTAGTTTCACTGAAAGTTTGCGTTATTTTTTCCGATATTGATCATCCCGGTTAATGATCAGTTGGTAATTGGGTTTTTTAATTTCAAAGTATCACTTGAGAAAAATGAGGAGTTATTAAAAAAGTTTAAACTTTTAAGTGATCGTTGGTGGGTGATTGGAAATAGTCTATGACTATAATCTATAGCGTGTAAGTATGTAAGGTAGTTCGGTTGAATGATGATTAAATTAATAGACCTTTGTTTGTGACTTTCCGAATAGAAACTTTTCGAGGATTTATTATTGAAGAAATCCAATCGGTTTATATGGAGTGGAAGTTACGCAGGCTACATCCATTTTATAATATCCTCCATTTTATTTGATCTAATGCTATTGAACTTTAGGAAATTGATTTATTGTTATGTTATAATAGAGATGACATCATCGAAAAAGGAAGTGTTATACTCAGCAATTTTTTCTAAAAGTTTTTTTTTTTTTTTCAAAGCTTTTGAAGTATTGATTTTTGAGGTCAAAATTTAATCATCTTAAAATATTATTTGACAAAGTTAAATTAAAATTTGTAAATAAAATAAGTTATGACATTACATTTTTTTTCTTTCCATTAGCCATACATAATCCGTGAAAAAAAATTGAAGAGAAAGGAAATGCAAAAAATGTAACAGCGTAATCCAATTTTTGTTATACAGTACGGAGGCGAAATAGGACGTCGCATGGCCCCAGATGAACGACCACTCGAACATCAAGACGAATTTCTGAAGCTGCTTGGCTACGAGGAAGTTTCACGACGAGCACGTCTTGGAGTAGACCCCGAACTACGTCATCTCATCGCTTTTCATATAGGTAAGCTACTCTCCTTACAGCGACACCGTTAAATTTTAAATCCGCTATCCGCTCAAATTATTCTTGAGGCAAGGACTAAATATTTATAAAGATTCAAACGAATTATTACTTAAGAGCTTTTTTTCGGGCTTTCACACGTTTTTCCGTTAATATCTTACTGTTTTTTGAAATATTCAAAACAGTTCTTCAAGCGTTGCTTAGGAAAGAGTGTAAATGTCGGAAAAGTATACCGAGACTATTTTAAAGTGAGGTTACTCGCAATTGGAATATTGAATTATTCAAATGTGGTTTAGGCAAATTGTGTCACTGAATTTTTTTTTCGATAACTAAACTCAGGTCAACTGTTCACGGTTAGTTGGGTATAGAATCGGGTGTGATGTTTTCTTAAATGGATTATTGGAGAATTCTTTTCATATTTTATAATATATATATATAAATATAATACGTCTTTTGATTTGATAAAAATTTTATAAGATTGAATTATATATCTAACCTAAAGATTTTTAAGTTTTTTATTTTTCTTATTATATAGTTAGAAGTTAGCAGTCTGACTATGAGAGGATTTTAGGTCATGCGTCACCTAGCGGGAAAACTAAAAACTATAAGACTAAAAATCACTTATATCTATTATTGAGTAGAAAAATCGACTTTACAACTTTTTTGAGTAAGAAATTTAATAAGTAAAATATCTTTAAAAAAAAATTTTATCATGGTATTATTAATTTGTTGGGACAAATTTTTGTTACGTTCGTTATATTATTGTCAATTAGTATCTTATCTTAAAAATTTTTTTACTATTTTTGGGCAATTTTTTGACCCTCCTTATTATGTAATTAGAAGTTACCAATCTAATTGTGAGAGAGATTTTGAGCCTGCGCCACCTAGCAGACAATCTAGATACTAATTGACAAAAAATAATTTCTAAATGGGATTTGACGATGAAAAATATATTTTTCGACTTTATTGAGATATTGAAAAATGACTCAACCGATTAAATTATAAAATTTATGTATCTATCAACAACTGTGTTGTAAAAAATAATAACACTACAGCAGTATAATTTTCAGCCAACAACATTAAAAAAAACGTAAATTATAAAAGTACAATGAAATAAATAAAAGTACATAAAAATAACTGAGTCTCCATGACTGGAACCAGTAAATTTAACTGACGTGGAAAACTGCCAATTTTAATAGTATCGGCTGGTGCCATCACGTTTAATTCCCGGAAAAACCCGATTAACGAAATACATTTTTGCCAGCCCATGCAAAAGTCAATCGCTAATTTATAAACATTGTTCCATCAACTCTGGATCTCCCTTAAAACTTTGTTCGTTAATTTCACTCTCAGCAATTTAAAATGAAAAATAATAAAAATTTTATCTCCATTTACAGTTTTATCCACAAAATATAAATGTTATAAAATTTACAAAATTATTTACGGTACTTTTTTGTCGGGAAAAACAAATGTTCGACGCCGGAACAAACTCCCGTGAATATTTCTAATTTTATTGGATTCATGAAAAAATAAATAAAATATACCGAACCAATATAACGATCATTTTTTCGTCTAAATTAATGGCCAGAATGTTATTCATATCGAGCTAGAATTCACGAGAGTAAATCTATACGCTGAAAAAAAAATCCATATACACACATATGCAATACCTTCCATTTGTCCGATTAAAATGCCAGTGATATTGAGAATTCGCGATGGCTATCAGGCCTCTCGGGGTATCAAATAATTTATCGAATCCCGGCAACCTAAAAAAAAAAAAAACAATTCACCCTAAAAACAAAACCGCGTTCATTAAAATTAAACAAGAAAACATCTATTGCGCTGTTTTACTATTCACATTATATCTAAAATATATCACGGCTAAATGAGTGCAAACAAAGGACATCCTCTTTCCGGAATGCGTCAAATAGTCATAAGTCAGCATAATACTTGCTCTCTCATTACACATTACTTATTACACTACACCACATTATAAATACGGCACTAGTGTGTATTTGCGCAAAATTCAGCCGTGGATTGACGCGTAATGTAATATAATATAGTTTACCGCTACGAATGTAAAATCAAGAGAAAAAGACACCGTTGACTGACAAAGCGGATACGATAAATTCGAATTGATTTTGATCTGATGAAACGCATAGGTAGCATCCTCGATCCACTCGAAATGCATTCTCTTTGTGCCAATAATACACCCGATGTATAACTATATCAGATTATACTCCGAATTAAATGCATTTAGATATTTTTCAACATTCCAATGAGCCTTTGATGTAAGCAATAATTAGAATTAAGCTTTTGAATAAATTAAATCTTTGAATTAATGTTCCTGTTTCACTCAAATTAATCAAAAATTTCAAAGCAATCACGCACACTGTCCATTGGCTAGCTCTAAGAAGGATCTGTTAAAAATGGCGGCTGAGTTGGAAGAAAGTAAATTTTTGGGAAGTGATTAAAAAGTTCTTAAAAAGTTTGTTGGCATAACGAATTGGCTAGCGGAACACGAATGGTATTGTCAGTAACGAGCTCAAGTTTTGATTGAAACTACCCAGAGGAAGGTGATGCACCAGACGGTGGGGATGAAGAGAGCGAGAGAACAAAGTTAGTTGCGAGTGGGTTAGTAATCGGCATTTAACGTTTGGATTCAGCGAAGCGTTATGCCGTTTGCCGGAAACTATACGACCCTTTCACGACTTCCGGAAACTTTCCGACGGTGAACATTCCTAGGCACTGTCGTTAACGATTATTGTGGTTAAACATCGAGTTTCCGGATACGAGCTATGACTATTGTCATATCATCCACAGATTAACTGTCCTACGCAAAACATATTTCAAGACTATTTGCATTTACTGATGACCTTATTGCGCTTCAATAATCTTAACAAATTATTATTAAGTCTATATTTTCCCGAAAGAAAGTTATCAAACTCATAAAACACTTAATTTTCAAAAAAATTAACTATTATCTTATACTAATAAGTTTACAGTCCACTAGCGAGAAAAATTCGGGCCATGGGCCACCTAGCGGCCAATCCTGAAACTAAAATGAGACAACTCGCCTATATGCACTTTTTATCATAAAAAATTTAATTTTTTAAGTTTTTTTTAAGAAAAATTTAATAATTCTGATATTTAACCATTATCTTAGAAGTCATAAGTCGAAAGTTATTTTTTATTGGAATTTAATTTAAGAAATACTTTTATCAGCGGTATTTCAAAAGTTTTCTCCCTAAGTTTCTACAAGTTGATAATTTATATTATGGTGAAACTTTTTTATTTAACGACGCTTATAGACGTTACTATTGACTTCAATAATAAAGTTCATAAATAATGCATTGGTTGGTGAAATAATTCTAATTTCGTACTTCACTGAAAATACATAGTTATTTATAATTTATCAACCTAGTTAGTCTCAGTTAAACATAAAATATATAATATTTAATTTCATCTTCTATTATAAGTGTGCTAGTACGTCAATTTTAACATAGATCCTTATTAATACTCATATTCAATATTAATTAATAAGGCCTGTATTACTAAATACTATCCCTAAAGCTTTCAATATTATTTTAAGGACTTTTAAGTTTTAATTTAATTTGAATAATAACCGAGTACAGAAACTAATTTGAAAGTAATAATTAAATCAAATTCAATTGTTAATTATCAATTAGTGACATTTATATTGATAACTTGATCTAACTTATTCCGAGAAAAGCTCAGCTAATATTAAATAAATTTTTCATAAGCTTCAAAAGCATAGTGAAGACATTTTTCCGGCAGGTATTTATAATTAAATAGAATAATTAAGGTCAGATCTTAAAAAGAAATTCAGAAAATAGTGTCGTCTTTCAGCTAGGAAAGTAAGTCAAATTTAAAAAAATCCAATTTCACTTATCTTGTTGTAAAGCATATTTATACCACCCGATACGTGCAATTTTAATGCTTCGTCCCATGAGAAAGTTGTAATATCAAGAGCTGGGTTGTATCAGTGGATAAAGCCGAGAAGTTTGTACGTTTTGTACGTGAGAAGTTTCCGCTTTATATTGTTTCTTGATATCTAACACAGACCATATATACGCCATTTTTTTAACCACGCTTACAACTGTTATTTACAATGTTTGGCCTGTTAAAATGTTATTTTTTGTTCCTACTTTGTAATTTATGTTACGTCAAATTTTTTTTCTACTTTATATAATAATAAAAATTACACCGGCACACAAAAAAAAAAAAGTTGTCAGTACTTTTGACGAGACCCATATATTTTTATGTATTTCGACCCGCTGAATCCAAATTTGAGGTCAGTTTGACCCGTAGACCGTTAAATTTTCGAGATACCCGTACAAAAATGGACTGATCAATTATTGATCAATAATTGATCACTACGAGATCACTAAGTGATCAATGATTGATCTCGAGCTGATCAATCATTGATCACTAACTAATCAATCATGAGTCTACCATAGATCAACGAGAGATCATTCAGAGATCACTAATTGATCACTCTATGGAGACAATACGGAAAAATTTCAGAAAATTGTTTTTGCGACCTTTATTGATAAATTTTCGGTCGTAACATAATAATGGATTGATGATTGGCAATCAAGCTCTCTAGCTAATTACAAATTAAATTCTACTATGATTAATCATTAAATCACCATCTAGAAATAAAATTGAAATTAAAATTACAAAATAACCTGACTTTGACGTGCTAAAACTAACACACTATCTCAACCGCTTTGGGTTGGAAAACAAGCAGCAGAATTAGCACGTGATCGGTTAAAAATTATCTAATGATCAATTAATAATCACTCAATCATCAATTAATGACCTCTCAGTGATCAGTTAATGATCACTGAGTGATCAGTTAATAATCACTAAATGATCAATTATTTACTACGAGCTGATCGATCATTGATTACTGGCAGGTGTCTTATTAATCACTCAAATCAGCGATTGATCACTTTGAGATCACTCAGCGATCAATTTATTAACGCTGAATGATCAATTGATAAACACTCATTGATCAATGAATGATCACTGAGTGATCAATGAATGATCACTGAGTGATCAATGAATGATCACTGAGTGATCAATTAAAGATTACTGAATGATCTATTCTTGATTAATGAGAGATTTGTTATTGATCATTCAAGAATCAGTTACCAATCATTGAAAGATTATATAGTGATTACTAAGTGATCAATCACACACTCATTACTCAAAGATCATTAATAAATATTTACTGAGAAGAAATTCAACTTGATTCAAGAGAAAAAATCGTAAAAAATTGTAAAAAAAATAATAAAAAAAAAACATTATTTAATGACGACTACTGTTTGTGTTTATTATGACTATATAAATATGATCACTGATAAAAAAATTATCCTGAATCAAAAATACCATTTTGAGAAAAATTACTTTCTTAAGACAAGAGAAAAAATTTTTGAGTTCAAGAAATTATTCTTAGTTCAAGGGTATTTTTGATTCAGGATAATTTTTTTATCAGTGAACATATTTATATAGTCATAATAAACACAAACAGTAGTCGTCATTAAATAATGTTTTTTTTTTTATAAATATGGTATTCTTGGTTCAAGATTTTTTCTCTTGAATCAAGTTGAATTTCTTCTCAGTAAATATTTATTAATGATCTTTGAGCAATGAGTGTGTGATTGATCACTTAGTAATCACTATATAATCTTTCAATGATTGGTAACTGATTCTTAAACGATATTAAAAATAAATCTCTCATTAATCAAGAATAGATCATTCAAGGATCTTTAATTGATCACTCAGTGATCATTCATTGATCACTCAGTGATCATTCATTGATCATTCAGTGATGACTCATTAATCAATGAGTGTTCATCAATTGATCATTCAGCGTTAATAAATTGATCGCTGAGTGATCTCAAAGTGATCAATCGCTGATTTGAGTGATTAATAAGACACCTGCCAGTAATCAATGATCGATCAGCTCGTAATAAATAATTGATCATTCAGTGGATATTAACTGATCACTCAGTGATCATTAACTGATCACTGAGAGTTCATTAATTGATGACTGAGTGATTATTAATTGATCATCAAGTGATTGCTAATTTTTCACTTAATAATTATTGATTCATCGCGTATTGACCAGTGATTAATCACCATATGACCTCGCAGCGATCATTATATAATTTTTAACCGATCACGTGCAAATTCTGCTGCTTGTCTTCCAACCCAAGCGGTTGAGATAGTGCGTTAGTTTTAGCACGTCAAAGTCAGGTTATTTTGTGATTTTAATTTTAATTTTATTTCTAGATGGTGATTTAATGATTAATCATAGTAGAATTTAATTTGTAATTAGCTAGAGAGCTTGATTGCCAATCATCAATCCATTATTATGTTACGACCGAAAATTTATCAATAAAGGTCGCAAAAACAATTTTCTGAAATTTTTCCGTATTGTCTCCATAGAGTGATCAATTAGTGATCTCTGAATGATCTCTCGTTGATTTATGGTAGACTCAAGATTAATCAGTTAGTGATCAATGATAGATCAGCTCGAGATCAATCATTGATCACTTAGTGATCTCGTAGTGATCAATTATTGATCAATAATTGATCAATCCATTTTTGTACGGGACATCCTAAAAATGTAATATATGCGTAAATATTAAAAAAATTTGGAGATTTTAATAAGATTTTACAAATCAAGCTTCCTAACATTGTTCCTAACATTGTTCGCAAAAAATAGCGAAAAAAAGCTAAAAATTCCAGATATTGTGTTAAAAAAAATTTTATAAAATTAAATCAATCATGATTTTTATGTATTTTGATCCGCCGAATATAAATCTCGAATTTATATGGCTTAGACATCTCTAAAAATCTAAATAAATAGCAAAAAACCACTGAAAATCAAAATAAATCAAGTCCGTTATGATAAAAATCAATTTTTAAATAAAAATAAAAAATCTTTAACAATATAAATAATTATTTATATTATCCTTAATATTGTTGTCAATTAGCGTTTGATTGGATGAATTTTAACTTTTTAGACCAATCTTATTATATAGTTAAAAATTACCGATCTAACTGTGAGAGAATTTTTTCCCTGCGCCACCTAGCGGCCAAATTTGGGTACTAAAGTTCTAAAAGTAACTCAAATCGTTTTTTTAGAATAAAACCTCGGCTTCTAGAGTTTTTTTAGGTCAAAAATTTATTAATAAAAAAAAACAATTTTTCAGGCGAAAATTTTCTTTTTTCTTTTTAACTAACAACTGTCTAATTATTTTTTTTAAAAATCTCAATTGCGAATAATAATAATGAAAAATAATGAGTTTATTATTAAAAAAAAGAAAAAAAATATATAAACGTAGCAACATAAATAATATAAAATTAACACACCAACGATTTCATTGTTTATAAATCTCTCCAGCAGCTCCTCTTTGCCTGTTTCTTGTTCGTTTACAACATCAAATCTCTAGTAAAGTAGTTAACTCATAAAATAAAAGACAACTGGAGAGTAGACAAAGAGAAGTAAACTCCAAAAGGACAATAACTATGAACTGTAAACTATAAACATATAGCTTATGCATCCTATTCTGTAATAAACAAACTGTTAACTGTCATTTGGTATTTCTATTCCGTTTTATGTTTTCGTAACATGTTTCTGTTCACCATTCACTGCTAACTAAACATCTAACTATACATATATATGTTTATACATGAAAAGAAAAGTTACTAAAGTGAATAAATACAAGTTGAGGTGATTAAATGCAAACACCTAACTTTTAGCAAATATACTGTAAATTTTAGGAAAATCCGAATCCTTGTACTGCTAAGTATGGTCATTTAATAATATTTTATTGAACGTTTTTCAGGACCCACGGAGCCATCTCAGGATTTAACGGGACACAGCCGTTGCGGGAGCGCTCTTGTGCTAAAGGGTCTAGTTTTTCCACAATGGAAAAAACGTGTCCTGGCTGTCATCGGATCAAGACTTTTTCTTTACCCCGGTAAGAATAAACTATGGAATTTCCGGTCCTTAAGGGGGAAGTAAACGATCCTAAAGATAAAGACACTAGTCAACCTTTTTTAACCGCTGTAAACTGTCGGTTTTTGTGGGCTTACATTATTCACAAGCTTTTATTCAATTTTTTTGTTTTACTTGGTAACAAGTTTAGAATTAGATAAAGAAAATTTTATCCTTTATTAATTATACAAAAATTAAGTCGTAAAAAAATTTTTATATGGGGTAAAATGGTCATAGAAATTTTTTATGGCAGATTAGAAAAATTATTTTTACTTTAATATCTTAAAACTCAACTCTCCTCTAGTGAGACAATTTAGCGATCATTCGCCACCTATCGGAAGTTTTCATCACTAAATATGAAAAAAAAAAGTAATAGATAGAAAAATTTTTTTCCTGCGAACTTTTAATTGCCTTATAAAATTTTAAAGTATAAATTGAGAGAATTTAATTGAAATTAATTATTTAAGATAATTGCCGGCCAAATATAACCGCATTTATTAATTAAATTAAAAAAAATCCTCAATTAAAAGGCAAATATTTGATCATGGAAATAATTTTTTAACTTTAATTGCGATATCAACCGGAAACTTCTAGCTATTTACACCGTAACAAACGTAAATTATATTTATATCTATTTAGATATTTGTATGTGTATTTTTTTTTGTTACACACAAGCATGAAAATTCCCGAATATTTATTGCTGAATCACTAGCAATATATAAGAGCTTGTTTCGCTCGAAGGAATAGCACAACTTAGAATTTTAATCCGAGTGGAGTGAACTTTAATCTCGAGTGATTTTTTAAACATCATTCCTTACTCCTTTATTGCTACTTTATTTGTTTTTTTTTTTATACCTCTTTCTTGATCTCATAATCGGGCGAGCGGCAAGTTTTAAAATAAATAAATGGAAAGATTATTATGCAGGTTTGAATTTTATCAAGAAATGTGTGGCACGAATATAAGGAAGATGGTGGAGTTATATAAGCGTTTGCTCCATTACTGTGATTGAAAACTTTAACTTCAGTGGCTAGAAACTTTCAAGGGAAATAAATAAGAGAGATGATTGCTTTTATCTGTCGTTTTAAAGTAACAATCTTATCTTCCGTCGTTCTTTTATGTGTATATACATATATATTAAGCCATTTTATGACATTTTATTTTTTTCGTTTTCTGTCGTTACACTTCTCTCAATTTTATAATATTTATAATAACGTTTAATTTTGTTCAAGTAATTTTTAAGGTAAAATTTTATTAGGAAGTTTGTTAAATTAACGATTGTTTGCTTTGAATAATAATTTGTTAACGAAATTTTACCAAAAGAAATATTTTTGAACATAAATGATAACATGTGATTACATATGACCATATGTGATCATGTGAAGGTCATCGTGCATGATATTTTATTTGATATGACATATAATCATGCTCATATATGATAATAATTATATACGATCACATGTGACTATGTGTGATCATGTTCGTGACTTCAGATAAAATATTTTATTATACATATGACCAAAAACCATGTCCATATGTGAGGATATATGGTCACATATGACCATATGTAAAGAAATTTGTAAAATCATGCATGGTATGTGATAATATATGACCATATATGATCATACATGTCAAATCATGCATAAATATTGTCACATATGACATAAAATCATCTCCATATATGTTATATGGTCACATATGACCATATGTCAAATCATGCATAAATATTGTCACATATGACATAAAATCATGTCCATATATGTTAAATGTATGATCACATATGACCATATATGAATCATATATGGTTATATATGATATTATATGATCTCTACACAGAAAGAAAAATTTCTTGACTGGAGAACAAAATTCTTGACTCAAGAAAATTTTCGGGTGCCTGAAGGAAGACCGAAGTTGTGTTGGTCGAAGTAAAAATTTTTCTTGTAATTCTATTCTTGGTGGAAGTAATTTTTTCTTAATTCAAATTATCATAAATACTTGATACAATAAATTTTTATATTTGATCAAGATTTTTAAATACTTTAGGGAAGCAGTGCCACCTACTTCAGCTTAGAAAAAAATTTTCTCACCTTGAGAAAATTTTTATCTTGAATATTTGATACCCATTTTATATTATTTTAGCGTGCAATTATACATATTGAATGAAAAAAAGTGATGAAATATTATTTGATCTTCCCATTTGACATGTTAATCAATAAAAATATAAATGAAAATTTACTTCTATCGAGATATTTAATTTTTTGGAGCAAGAGAAAAATTTTCTAAAGACAAGAAAATTGACTTCTATCAAGAACTAAATTTTTTGGAGCAAGAGGCTAAATTTTCTCAAAACAAGATTATCTTGACTTAAATAATTTTTCTTGAATTAGGATACGTATTTTTTAAAGCAAGAGAATTTTGTTGGAATAAGTGAAATTTCTGGTGTTAAAAAAAAATTTTTTTTTCGCTCAAAAAAATAATTAGGAAGAAATATATTTTGTTGGCTCAAGTGAGCCTTTTTTTCTGTATACTGTCAGAAAGTTTGTTTCGCTATAATGTTAAAAATCATATATATAAATATAATTTTAATATTGTAAAGTGGCCAACTTCCCGACAGTAATTGATCACATATGACCATATGTGAATCATATATAAACATATATGATGATATAAGGTTATATATAATGGTATATGATAATATATAACCATATGTGAATCATATATGACTGTATATGATTACATATATGGGATTATGAATGTAATCATCTAGGAGACTCAAATATTTTCATGCATGAAATTACATCTGACCTTGTGTAAACTGATGGGTGGAAATTTTATATGTTCAACAACTGAAAAATTTTGTTAAAATATTTATTCGTAAATAAATTACAATTTGAAACTAAAGACAAAACATAAATACAATAAGTTAATAAACATTTTACAAAATAATACAATTGACAAGTAAAACAATACTATTGAGAGTAATACATAACACAGTTAAGACAACTCGAAAATTACATTCATCCACTGAGTAGTACAGCAACTAGTAAAATAGATCAATAGCCAGGACAAGATTAAAATAATATCAGGAAAGTTGGTAGCCCATATAATAACGAGAGTGAAAAGCTCGAGCGCTGCGGCTGCGGCTCTTACTAACTCTAACCTATAACGTCCAAAGTTTTAATTGCTCGCAAGACATATCTGGCCTGTTACCTGTTACCCCGGCTCCTGTTTTTCGGCTTGCACTATAATAACTTGTTTATTTAATTAACCCTTTTCGGATTAATCCCCAAACTTTTAGTCACTTAAGCTCATTACCTATTATCCTACTATTTTATTCTATAATATTTTATCTTATTAGCTCGCTAGTAAATTATTTATTTAGCCTTTCATGCCAAAGAAACCTCGCAAGGCGGATTGTCGACATTCACCTGGCCAAAGAAGTCCGGCCGTACAGTAGTACCCTCTTGGACAGTACTGGCCATAGATGGTGTTACACTAAAAAAAAATTTTTTTTAATTTATTATCTAAAATATAATTAATAAAAATATTTATTGTCTTATTATCACTTACCGACGCTTGTAACGAGTCACTAACAATCACAATTAATAAAATAAATAAAATAGATAATAATTTAAACATTTTTTAATTAATAATTTTGTTCGAATTTAATTTAAAGAAAAAATTGATTTTCTCCACATGAAATGGTTAATGACTAATGACGTTTAATGTGACTGGCCTCAGATTAAATGGTCTATATATATCCTCACAGATAAGTCTATATTTATATATATATATATCCATATTTTTTAATTGACGTCACTCAAGGTGGAAATTTTTGTCACAGCTGATTAACCAAACCATCGGAAATTAATTTATTCGGTACACACATTATTCAAATTATATTAATCATTGTTACTCGATAATTCATTCATCTTAAATAAAATTATCATATCGAAAAATATTGTAGAGTTTAAAAATAAATACCTGATAATTAAACAATTAATTAATTTAATGGATTGTATTTATCGTTTGAATTTACAGACTTTTGTTTAATTATAACGATTATGATTAACCGATATGTTGAATTTCACTCCAGTAGTAAGGCTCGCGTAATACGCATTGACCTGCCTGGAAAAGTCCTCCCGAGCAGTAATAATGTTTATGACAATGTGGCCCATAGTACCCGTGGCACTGAAAAAGATTTATTGGTAATTTATTGGCAAGAAATAATTTCAAATATTTTTTTAACCTTACCTTGTTGACAGAGTTGTACATTGTAATGACAAAATGGAAGGACAAAATTATTGATGATAATAATAATAGATTTAGCATTTTTTTATTTTGGATATTAAATCTGTAAAAAATTTTTTTATTTCAGAATTTTACGAAAAAAATTTTTTAATTGTAAAATAAATATATATTTAATTGTTTTTTGGCTGGTTTAAAAAGAAATAAAATATTTTTTATGGATTTTAAACTGAAAAACATCCGTTTGCAGAGTTTCTGGACTAAAATAAATTTTTATCTAGCTAAAACAAGTTTCAAAAATAAAATTACTAACAAACACTTCAAAAAAAATTTTATTTATTTTGATTTAATTTTATTTTGAAATTTTAACCAAATTTTCATAAAAATTTTTTTTTTTAAATCTTGTCGATAAATCCAAACGTAAAAAAAATTAATTAATTATTAACATGACTGTGTTCAATTAAATAAAATTAATTAATTAAATTTTGCGATAATTTATTTTTGACGGCAATTTTAAGGATTTATTGATAAAGAAATTATTATAGATGGAATTTATTAAAAAATGCTACTTATGGAGATGAAAAAAATATTGTTTTTATTGAAAACAAATTAAGAATTCACTCCGTAGTTTCTTTTTTAATAATATAAATAAAATCTTTCTCAGAGCAAATTTCACAGTAGTATTTTTAAAACGACCGAAAATTGAATATTAAATATATGTATTTTATTTGTTTAATAATTATAAAATTTTTTTATAACTAATACATATTTTTTCTACCCGGGATGTTTTACCTGGTACAGGAATCTTTGATTGTAAAAAAAAAAAACGATGGACGTAATACTTAAACAATTTTTTCTGACTTAGAATTTAACCTTGACAAATCAGATAACATATATCTTATAAAATAAAATAAATCACGTCGACTAAATCGCCAATATACGTGATCTTTAACATGCACTAACCACGACGGAGGCTCGTGAAACTATAATTAGGGCTATCATTAACAGTTGTATAAGTTCTATCAATTTATCGAATCAATGATTTTTATTTTACAGTGACCAATTGGAGAACTACTCATTTGTCACACGGAGGTGGGACTTTATTTTTTTATTATATAAAAATTGAGTCATTTACAATAATAGTTAATGACTTATAGAAATTTCGATCGTAAACTAAGACATTAATTTTTTCCAACGTTATTTTTATATTTAGAAACAGTAATTAAATTTCATTCTTATGTTTTGAAAAACAAAATTTAAGAATTTGAAATAAATATTTTTTAAAATAAAATAAAATAAATTTAATAATTATTGTTATTTTTTTTTTCTATTCTAATAAAATTTTTAAGCTAATATTTTTCTTGAGTCAAGTAATTTTTATTTCAATTTATATATTTTCTAAAATTGACTTTAATTCAATAATAAAAATATAAAATTATTTAAAAAAAAAAAGAAAAAAACATGACCAGGAATCGAACCTTGTTTTATCCGGTCAAGTACACGTGTCTAGCCGTCTTCGCACTCGACCGCGGTCTTCAACGCAGTTATTTTTTATCATTAAAAAAAATTTTTTAAATAATTACATACCTGAATTCAATATCGAAGAACCTTAAATAAATTATTTTTAAAACTGTCTTACAATTATTCATCTAAAATTGACCGTTCTTCCAAAATATCACTCATTACAGGTGAATGCCCACCAAATTCGATATCAGCCGGGATTTATGTAAGCGTCATCAGTTTCGTACGACATGACTCGGCATTTAATTTCGCCCGAAATTATAAACCGTCACCCTACAGAGTAGAGCACAAATTGTTCTCTGTACACTTCGGGAACACAACACTTTCATTTTATTTCTCTAATAAACCCGACGAAATTAACCAAACATCAATTAAGTACGCGTCGACATTCAGTTTCATCTACATTCACAAATTTTAAATTAAAATTACTCGACAGCTTTATTAATACTGTTATGTAAAGAAATTTTTCTTTACATATTTATTAACTATAAAAATCGAGTATAATTTTATTTCGTTTTTAACGATTGTTAAAGCTAATTTGAGTGCGGTCATTAAGTGTCTCGTTCGATTTTTGCAAAAGGCCCAGGGAAATTCCCGTAATTAGTCTGAGGGCCCAGGTATTTTAATTAAAGAGATTAAATAGATAAATGGGAGTTTTGTTATACGTAAGCAAACTCACTTATACTTAAAATAAGAAACCATTACTTAAGTAATGATAAAGAACATAAGATAAAAGATTTATTTTAAACCGAAAGATTTTAGAATAACTTAATGACAGAATTTTAGTGTTGAGAAAAATATCGAAATAAATTTTAATAATGAACTTTCTGAAATAATTTTTAGACAACAAAATTAAATATGAAATGAAAAACAAATAAAAAAAAATAGAACTTGAAAGTTAAATAATTAAAAATAAACAAATATTAAACAATTAAATTCTAAAATAATACAATAAATTTATAAAACGACAAAACAGAAATATTTCTACAAATAAATAATTTAAATTCAAGAAAACGTAAGAGATGCTAGATTCAAGTACATATTTATTCATATGATTTTAATAAATAAATTAATGTAGACAGTACAAATGTATGTCTTTGTCTATGCGTAAATGTGCTTACGTATACACAAACACATAGATGAATAATAGAACATAAGAGTAAGTGAGAAAGCATGTTGCACTCTGACCCAAGTAGAGGGACATGCAACATTTTTAGACAAATTTAAGAGAGAGGGTAAGGGCCCAAGAAAATAGACAAATAATTGGACATTTGTTTCCCCCAATGAGTGGAAATTAGTTACGCCCTAAAATTCGACACCTCGCAATTGTCACCAAAAAATCTCTCTCGTTGTCCTGACGTCCTAGTGTTAACATCGTACATAGTTTAAATAAGTCTCAATAGACCACGTGTAAATCTATTGTACAGAAAATAAAGCATTTGTAAAGGTAAAGTAAAATCGTAAAGTGAAACCAACTAAAATAAATTAAATCAACAAGGTTCATCAATTTTTTATCAGGTATATTTGTAAATTATTAATATTTGTGAATTTGGTAATATTGTAAAATCGTTATATGAAAGAAAAGTTAACTTCAATCACTGTGTAATAATTGTAACTATTGTAAATTAACTAATGATATTAATTTTGGATTTAAACAATATATGTATTAAAATTATTCAACTACATCAATTTATTCAAACAAACCTATCATTCTCAATAAACTAAAACTCGGAAGTTCCCGGTCTATTAGCCTAACACGCTAGGACCAAATACTTAAACACATTAAATATTTTAAATGTAAAATTAATTAATTACCCTAAATTAATATTTTTTACATAACAATACTAAATAAATTTAATAATTTCTGTGGGGAACTTCATAAAGATGTGACGGTTCCGCGAGATTTATTTTCCGGTTTTTATCTTTTATCAGATGAACTCGAACTAGAATTGAGATTCTGACTTGACAGATGTATTTTTATGCGCTCATATGAATATCTAGATCGATGGGCGGTAGTTATGGTTATGGGATGGGTGTACGTAGCTCATCTTACTTTTACTATTGCTATTACTATTACAGGGGACAATAAAACCCAGATCGAAAAATGTCAGTCTGAGCGAGAAGAAATACGATCGAGGTGAATAATAATAAGGGGTGGGTGGGTATATGTCTCCTGATAAGTGGTCTACCTCAAATGATATCGAGCGTATTTTATATTTTATGTGTTTTATAAAATTTAATATTGTTTTAGTTCTGGTTCATGGTTAATGAATAAATTATTGAAAATATTTCTGTGAACAGGAAATTTTATATCGATTATTTTAATAAAATATTTTATTAATTCAACAGAAGTTTCAATACTCACTGATAAAAAATTTTGCAATATTTAAGAACTTTTAATAAATTTTTTTGACATCAGATTTATAAAATAAATTGTTTTTAAAATTTAATTTAATAATTGTTGCTTTTTTGATTAATCAAAATTTTGTAAGAGTTAAAAAATATATTTATTAATTAAAGATGAAATATTAAATCTTAATAAATAAATTTTTTTTTAATTCTTAAACATTTTTTGTATTTATAAATTATATGTAGACACTTGTTATAATTTGAATAATGAAAAAAAAAAAAATTAACATAGAAAAAATAATTAAAAATAATTATTATAGACTAGAGGATTTTTTTTTAAATGTAATATTGAAAGCTAAACGGAGTTCTAAAAATATTTTCCATTAAAAGTGAAAAATTACTTTCTTAAAATCGATAGATTGATAAGTTTAATGAAACTATTAAAAATTAATTAATAGTTTTATTAGTACGGAAGTTTAAATATTAACGACTTAAATATTTTATTGATATTAACTTTCTATATACGTTATTGATCAATATTTATTTTTTATTTCCAATTTTATGAAGTTTAAAATTTCAGAGTAATTTTTATTTTTTATACCCGCCGCTTAAATTAAAAGGAAATATTATTGAAGAAAATTAAAATTCATATTTTATAATTTTAATAAAATGATAAATTATTTTTTAAAAATTTCAGAAATATAACATTTATCCCAAAAATATTTCTATTTAATTAATTTTTTAATTAAAAAAAAATCAAAATTTCCTTTTTTGTTCTCTAAAATTTTAGTTTTTTTTTTTTTTCAATTTTAAACTTTCGGAAGTCTAAAATTGAAAGTTTCAGTGCAATTAAAATTGTAATGTGATATAAAGAAAAAATGTCGGACTAAATTAACACTGCACTACTTAAAAGCTCATAAAACATTGTTCTTAAACAAGATTGCTTACTTACTTCTTATCACAGAAAAAAAACGAGTCTAAAAATAATTTCTGCAAACAGGATGTCCCGAGTCGCGGCCCGAATGGATAGAATTACAAGGCGGAGCTGTTTGTTATGCCCCATCACGGCTGGGAAAGCTCGTTTTGCGCGTCACGGGCTACCCGCGGATCTACAACCAGCAGGCAGTCCAAGAGCAAGACCGAGACTCTGAGGAATTCCAACAGACAACCAGCGGGGAGCCCGGACATCAGCGGCAAGAACTTCACCGCGAGACCCGGCACCTTTACTTGGGCTTCCAGCATCCCTGGGACCGAGACCTCTGGCGCAGTTGGCTCAAACAGGTACGTCTCTATCTACTCTGACTTAATTCCGCTGTTTTCATCAACTTGCTCTTCTACTTTATTTAGTTTTTTATTTTTATTAAAGCAGAAGGTTTGTTAAAAACAGTGTCTAGAAAAAGGGAGTTTTGCAAATAAAATTACCAACTGTTGCGTATTCTTTAAGCTCGAGTCTTCTTAGGAGACAAAAGTGTAGATCTATACACGGATAAACTCCCGATTTCGCTAAAACTTTAGTCATCTCCGTAATTCCGGAATCGTTTCATCTCTTAAATGAAAACTCGGCTTAACACTCACTGAGCAGCCAGACAATGGACTCCGTTAAAAGTTTATCTATGCAAATGTTTACTTTTTTTTATAAAATTTTTTTTTTCATTTTTCTACCGATAAAATATTATTAAAAAATTATTAATTCATACTTTTTAATAAATTTAAAACGAACAAAATTTTTTTATGCAAAATATTTTATATTTTATTTCATTAAAATTTTTTTTATTTATTTAGTAAAATTTAAAATTCAAACAATATTTTTAAGCTTATGTTTTTTACTACTTAGGGTAAATGCACCAGTTGTTGACCGGTCACCAATTAGTTGATCGATGTATAAAAAAGTTAATTAATTAATATTTTACAAGGGTTTTTTTTTTCTTAAAGTATTAAAATAAAAATATATGGCATTTAATCATCATAATAAAAAATTATGCAATTAATTGCGCACTGATTATAGCTTTAAAAAAAATATTCTGAGTTTGTTTACAACGCAACCAGCCCCATAAAGCGGTCAAAAATAACTAGCGTACAATTGGAGAGTGAGTACATTTCATCATTAATTTAGTGATATTTATCGGCATAATATAAAATATTTTAGTTTTATTGTGTTAATTAAAGATCAGATTCCAACTTTTTTGAGAAAATAAAGTTAAATTATAAGTTTTGATATTATTTTAAGACCGGTCAACTATTGGATCCGTCGGAAGCCCTTTACCCAGTAAAAAATTTATTCGGTCATTTATTAGACCCTCTGGTTTTATCACAATCCAATTAATGACCGTATATTATTTATAATACTAACTTCTAAACCTCAAAATTAAATCTGTCTAGTGTTTAAAGTACTTTAGTCATTCAATATATTTTGTAAATATAAAAATAATCATTATAAAATGTATATTTATAATTAAAATAATACTTAAAATCTTTTTTGATTATTAAATTTTATTTTGTTCTAATTTTTTTAGTGAACGGTTGTATCAAAGAACGAATTATTAGAAGAAAAAAATTGCTAAGCAATTAAAAAAATAAAAAAAGAGTTACAAGCTAGTAAAAAAGCTTTAATTGAGAAAAAGAAGGAGAAGAATAAAAAAATTTCAAGTGAATCAGAAGAATTATCGTCATCAAAATGAATTTGTGATTATTTGTGACCTAAAGAAATGTAACTTTATGTTAATTATTGTTATTATTTATATTAGTTCATAAAAAAGTACGATTTAAAATTATATTTTATGTTAAGTTTTGTTAAAGATGTCGTTAATACTTCATAAGTACTGCATAAATTTAATTACATACATGTAGTTTACAAAATTACTTAAAATTATTTTAGCGGTCAATTAATTGGAGAACGGTCGGTCATTAATTGGGTTTCTTCGGTCAATAATTGGTGATTTTAGTATTTCAAGATTCAAATAACAAAATTAATATAATTTTGTTAATTTTATTATAAATAGTTATTAATTATTATTAATTAAGTATTTAACTGTCGGTCAATAATTGGTGCATTTACCCTACTTATGAAAAATATTAAAAAAATTATTAAAAAAAAAAAAAAAAATTTATGTAAAAACGCAACGCCATCTGTTGAAAATATATTGAAATAATTTTTTTTTAATGAAAAATAATCTGGAAGCGATCGAATAAAATTAATTTTATTAATTAAATATTAATAAAAAAAATTTTCGATAAAAAATTTTTTCCCAATAAAAAAAAAATAAAGTGGAAAAATAGTTTTTCGATAATGAAAAAATAAAGGGAAATTGAATTAAAAGTTTCGATTAAGAGTTCACAGAAGTCCCGAAAATTAATAAAAATAATAATAAAATAGAGTAGTGAGTTAAATAAAAATCAATGGTAAATCTTTTTTCGATTTTCAATAAATAACGAGGTACATCCTCGCCCATACCTGGAGGCTGCAGGCGACACAGATGTATCTCACAGTAATTTAAGTACACCAGACTTATATTCCAAATGCAATAAATTGAAACATGCAAGTCTGAGCACGACAAGGCTGTAGGAGCGCCAAAGAACGCCAGAAAATAATATTTTTTTATTTATTTTGAAAGATGTAAAGAAAATCTCGGAGACTGAGCTCGGAAAAACACTTTGATATCTCAATCGTTACTTCTCAAACATGTGATCCGAAAAAGAGATATAAAGCGGGGAGTTTAATACTCGAGTACTTTTGGATGGAAAAGGTACAGCTTTCATTTCAGCTAAAATTGATAGTAATGATAATAAAATAAACCTTATTTGTAATTTGATAGAGCGAAAAAGCCCATTAATAAAACAGAAACTTTGTTTATTGGTCGGCAGTTCTTAATATTAAGGAGGTTCCATTCGTCTCGGTGGTTACTTTTTTTGTTTGTTGTTTTATTCAGTCCTCGGAGACGCATTATATTTAACATAGAGGATGTAGATGGAAAGGGGAAGGGTGTGAGTGAGTATGCACACACTCAAAGATATTATATTGCGATGTCGCAGGTGTCCCCTTAGTCTCACAGGACATTAGCGATATTAGCTAAATAACAACGTTATGATTTATAGCTGCGATTATCCCCTTGTGAAAGTTACTCCGCTATACACTCTATCAAATGAACCACCCAGAAGTTTATCAATTCTCAGAGTCTATAAGTACCTTATTTATTTATTTCATTTTTATTATATTTTTTTTTTTTTATAAATTCAAGAATTATTTTATCGTTAGTTTTTATTTTTTTATGAAATATATTGAAAAAATTTTTAATAATAATAATAATAAATAATAACTAACAACCTTGCAGTCACTATGTGACTGCCATGACTTGTGAACTATAAATAAATAAAATGTTGCTTTATTAAATAATGATTTTTGTTAAATTGTACTGTACTTGTTTAACTATTGACGTTTTTGAAGATGTAAGCTCATCCCGATGTTACACTGATCAAGAGCTTTCATTTGAGTACCCACATTCATTTTGATATATTTTTCATATATATATACATATATATATATGGATCATTCTCTCTAAGGACGTCTTAAATCTGTACAAAATTGTCCGACCAAATTATTTTTGATTTTATTAATAGCAAAAAAATGAACAAGGGCTACAAAACTACACGAAAAAAAGTAAACTGTAATAAATAACAGTCGATTTATAAGAAGTAATGATCAACTGCTAAAAATTACCATTTCTAATAGTAAAATCGTGATTTTACTATTCACTTTATATTATTTACCATTTAAACGTTACAATTTACTCTTTACATGGGAGAAAATACTATTTCAAACAGTAATATTCGCTATGTAAATGTCTAAAATGTTAAAGTATAATAATTAAGAATTCAGACTTTGATATTTATCATTTCGTACCTAAAAAATGATCTTATAATTTGTAAAAAGTATATAATAAAGTTAGTAAATTTCTAATACAAGCAACGTCAATATTTACAAAGTAAAATGGTAAATTTTAAACGCCACGCTAAAAATCAAACTGTAATTATTGACTTGCTTGAACTGGTAAAATGTATATTTTAAAAGTATAATTTTTACTGTTTCAAATGTTAAATTCTCCCAGAGTGAGACCCCCTTCTCTTTCATCTGAGTTCCCCTTCTCCTCATAATATGAAGTATATATTGAAATGGCAATTTTTACTGTTTGAAACTGTAATTTTTTAAGATGAAAGAGTCGTTATTTACTATAGTGACAGCTACTAATCACTTATTTTGGATATTAAATTATAAATTGTAGCTTTTATACTTTCTACATTAAGTTCTGTAATATTTATATTTTTGCCACCCCGATGTCCGCTTTGCTGTTTGAAACTATAAAAATTAACCGTAATCCGAGTGAATATTACAGTTTAATTTTTTCCGTATATCAGCTTAATCATAATAAATAAACAGCCGATTTAATTTTTGCTTTTTCGATATTAGTGTATCTTTTGCCATATAACATGACAGGGGACTGTTTGCCAGGGGACTGTTTTCTTTTATCAAATTGAGAAAAATCAAACAAACTATTTCAATGCATTCAACTTTTCAAGTTTTCAATGAATGTTTACATTAATTAGAATAATATTAAGACTTATGGATCCAATTTTATAAATAAATTATAAATAAACATAGTTGCCAGGGGACTGAGTTTTGAAGTGGCTCAGACACATATTTCCAGCACAAACGGTGCTTTGACACTAAATAAAATGGCGAGAAAGCGCTAACAGCCCTATGGTTATTAACTCAAGGCTAGTTAGGTCCTTATAAACCTTACAAAAGGTAAAATAACACGCTGGATTCTTTTTTTTTTGGCTTTGAACTTCTGACAGGGGACTGTTCTTAAAATGCCTGGGACAAACTTTGGTTTAATGAATTTAATGAAACAAATTAACATTTCTTAATTATTTATATTTTTGAAGATATAAGCTCATCCCGATGTTACACTCATCAAGAGCTTTCATTTGAGTACCCACATCAATTTTTCATATATTTATACATATTATGTATATGTATATATGAAAAATATATCAAAATGCATGTGGGTACTCAAATGAAAGGTCTTGATGAATGTAACATCGGGATGAGCTTATATCTTCAAAAATATCAATAGTTCTCAAGATACAAAGTCATTTCTTAATTATGTATCTAGAGATAGAACATTTTCGAATGCAGTCTAAATACTTATCATCATAAATTGACTGTCGGTGAGAATGATATGAAACCTTTAAAAGACATAAATTCAAGTCAAGACATTTGCAACGATACCAAATTTAACCATAAAAACCCATTTTATCATATAAATACATTGGCCACAAAATTTTGCTTATTCTCTTAATTATATAGATAATAATAATAACAATAAACATCTAAATTAAAATACTGATTTTTTCTTCCAATTTTATTATTATTTATTTATTTATTATTATTTATATTTAAAAAATTTAATTACTTCCATTACCACGTCATAAA